CAGAGACAGTGGAAGGGAAGGGCTGTTCTTACTGCCCAGTCTAAAGGGCAGTGGCCGGCTGGTGAGGTCCCGCAGCCAGCAGCAGGCGGAGGCCAATCCCCCCCAGGTGGAGGCCTATTCCGCCCCCAGGGCTCACAGCAGGAGGAGGCCAATCCCCCCCAGGCAGAGGGCGATTCCCCCCCCCCAGGGCTCACAGCAGGTGGAGGCCGATCCCCCCGGTCCCCCCCGATCCCCCCCAGGCGGAGGCCGATCCCCCCCCAGGCCTCACAGCAGGTGGAGGCCGATCCCCCCCATGGAGGCCGATCCCCCCCAGGTGGAGGCTGATCCCCCCCAGGACTCACAGCCCCAGAGCCGAGGTCCCCCCTGCATTGGAGCCACACCTGGGGGCCTCCAGCAAGAGGACAACCCTGACTCTGCTCTCGGTGCTTCGGAGGACACCAGACAGGTGCACAGCCCACGTGGGGCCATCCCATGAAGGCCACGCACAGGCTGGGGATGGACCCCCCTTCCTGGGTCCCTGACACTCAGGGGAGGGACTGGCATGCCCCACCCTCTTAGCTTAGTCAATGCAGTTTTTATGTTTACACTGTGCAGAAAAAAACACCTCCTTTCCGATTTTCTGTCCTTGAAGATGCTGGTGACGGGGAGGATGTGGTGGATTGTGTCAGGCTTGCCCAGCCGGCTGCAGAGACAGGAGACGCACTCCTCCAGGGAAGGCCTCGCTGCCCGGCTGGGGGTGGTCAGCACCTCACTATCAGCTCCTTCAGGGTTGGACTTGGCCACAGAGCCCCCTTGCCTTGGGACTCCCTCCCCCGGGGAAGTTCTGGCTTGGTGTGGGGGTAGGGGGGAGGCCCTGCCAACTGAGCCTGATGTGGGTCACCCCTAATGGTGCCTTCTCAATCCAAGGCTCCCCACTGGCCCCGCCGCCCCTGCCCCCTCAGCTCCCCCCGGAACACGCACCCTGCATCTTAGTCTCCTTCCCAGTGTCTGCTCCCGAGACCCTGGCCTGTGACACTTCTACAAGAGGGAGCCCCAGAAGGGAGGTGGCCATGGCCAGGTTGAGGCCAGGTGCCCTGCCTGCCCAGGCTGCTGGACATGGCCTACCACAGGGTGACCCTCAGCATGGCTGGCCTGGCCCTCGGCCCTGGGGATGGGCTCGGGAGCTCGGCCCAGTGTCCACAGCCAGCACATGTCTGCACCCACCGGGGGGGTGTCCTGTGGCCCGAACAGGTGCAGAAGGGCTGGAGCGCCACTGTGAACGGAACTGAATCCCATTAAATTGAATTGCAGAGCACTGAGTGGATCGTTACCACGCGGTTGTGGGATAGGCTCTCAATCGTGCAACAGGGAGAAAATCTCAGGAAGTCACAGCTCCCAACTAGAGAGAGGCCCAGCCTAAGAGTTCCTCCAGATCTCTGCTCTGAGCGTCCGAAGCTTCTGCCCATCTGATGGGGGCGGCTCCGCCCGGGATGGGGTTCTGGAGGAAGAGGGCCAGGCCCGTCTCCACTTCTCCCAGAACCCTCTGCCCCCAGGGGCACAGGCCTACGCTCGGGCCGAGGAGCCCCCAAGAGGCCTGGGGCCTGAGTCTGCTGCTATGGCAGAGTTCTGCCGCGGGCCCAGCACTATTTGTGAGCCCAGGGCAAGGAGGAGCTTTGAGGCCCCCGGGGTCAGGCCTGCCCAAGCTGCAAGGCCACGTGGAGGGAGTACCATGCTGGGTGTGCCCACTCTGGGGAGCCACTGGGACATCTCGCCCGCTGCTCCCCCCCAGGAGACCGGACAGAGCTTCAACCCCCCACACCTAGAGCCCAGCGTGCCAGGGCTCCAGGGGCCAGGGCTCCGGGTGCTGCCATAGCAGCTTCTCAACCTCTGGGGACTGAGCCTGGGGCAGGCAGAGCGTCCACTCACCCACTCTACACACACAGGCCTTGCACTGCCTGGCACACAGTGGGCTTCCGATAAGCTCCGGAAGAACAGATAGATGGGTCTCAGCCAGGAGGCCCGACAGCAAGGCCAGACCAGCCTCCAGCCCCCAGCCTCTTCCCACAGAATCCCTGGGAGCCCTAAACTGGCCCCATCCTTCTGAGCAGCCCCTAAGTCCCAGCTCTCTCTGCTCAGACCCCATGGGATGGGTCTGCCCCAGGGGTCCTGGCTGACCTCCTGCTCCCCCTGCTACTCTCCCCACCCCCACGCCCGGGTTCAGAAGAGGCACCTCACTGCCTCCAAGACTGTGGCCTGGCCCCAAGCCCTAAACCCACTTCCTGGCCTTGTGAGCTGTCCAAGGTCCTGGGCAGGCCCCTCCAGCTGGGCTCTCAAGCTTCGGGCCCTGAAACCACAGTCCTGTTGGAGGCATGAGTGAGACACATTACGAGGCACCCACACACTCAGCCATGGACCACGGGGACAAGGGAGTCTAGGGAAGGGGCAGAGCCCTATGGCTGAGGGTCCTTCAGAGAGGGACAAGCCTGGGTCTTATCAGAATGTTCCTCCCTCCTGGTATCGACTATACTGAGCCAGCTGCCTTCCCAGTGACTCTCAGTGGCCCCAGCAGGCCTGGCTACCTTCCCAGTCTCAGGTCCTACCACGGCCCCTCCCCATCCCAGGCTCTACCAGCTTCCCTGCTGGTCCCTCCCCCATCTCCACCTTTCTCAGACCCCTGCTGTCCTGCCTCACCAAGTGGGGTCCCCTTGCCCTCTGGACTGGCCCTTCCACTGCAAGGAGCTCCGGCCTGTCTGGCTGAGCCATTTGCTCATAGTACATACTCAACAGATCCACGTACTGAGCACCAGAACAGTACAAGGTCTGAGTTAGGGCCAGCCCTGTGTTCTTGGGGGCCCAAGAGCCACCTCCCCACATCTCACTCAGACACCCGTCCCCAGCATCCCTGCCTGGCTCTTGTGTCCTTACTGGGCAGTGAAGGCAGGTGCTGTTGGCCTCAGTTTCCCCCACAGCACCCAGCATACAGCCAGCTTTGGGAACCAAAATGCCAAATCCAATCATGCTTTAAGCCCACCAGGAGCTGCCCCTAGCTCAGGATGGGGCCCAGAGGCTGCCAGCACACAGTCATGCTTCTTAGGGGAGGGTGAGTCAGGCAGGGACACAGGCACCCGGCAAGTTAGGTGGGTGCGTGCTGGCCTGCTGAGGCAGGGGCGCTCTGCCACAGACTCCAGGCTAGCATGTGGTCAGGGCCTGGCTCCAGAGCTGAGACCAGAGGAGAGAGGCTGCTTCCACACAGCAGGCAGCTCCACGCGGCCTGAGCAGAGCTGAAGGCAGCACCCCAGCATGGGCCCCGGAAGCCAGTAACCCAATGGTGTGGCTTTGGTGCATTTGACCCACTACCAGACTCTGGGTTTGGTGAGTGTGAGGGTGAGGTGGGGGGTGGCAAATATCCCTTAAGAATTAAATTTGATTTGCACTAAAGTCACACCTAACTTATGATCCAGAACTAGCCCCCTGAAGGGGGACAGGAAGCCAGCCTGGAGATGCTGAGAGTCAATGAGAGGGGAAGGTCACCAGCCGTGAAGCAGGCTTTGTGGATGCAGCAGAATGTGAGTGAGCTGCCGGGTACATGCGCCCCTCCTGCGCAGCCATGTTGTCCCCCTCATGTGTGCGATCCTGCTGACCCTGCATGAGAGCCCCTGGAACAGAGGACTGGCCCTGGGGGAGGGATGAAGGAGGTGGAGGAGTGAGCATGACCTAGCCTGCAGCTCCCCTGAGGGTGCCCTAGGCCACACTGCTGCCCAAGCCAGGTCATGGTCAGAAAGTCTGACAGCCCTGACCCCGACCCAGCCAGACAAAGGGTCCTGTCCAGGGGCTGCCAGGTCCTCCCCTCCTGAGGCCTTGACTTCCTGTCTGCTAAGTGAGAAGTTGGGCTGAGGTCCAGGAATCCTGGAGGGGTGCTTGAGGGGGTTTGAAGATGGGGAAGGCCTGGCAGAAAAGGTTATGAGATCTTCCACGTGGCTTCTCCCTGAAACCCCCACAGACTTCTCAAGACCCTCCCAATCATCAGGGAAGAGACCACCCAGCCAGGGCCTAGAGAACAAAGAGGGAGGTTGGGGCTTAGGGCCTGTGAGAAGGGGTGAGGGCTGATTTCCACAACAGGGAAGGAAGTTGTCCTCCTGATTGGCAAACCAAGGTGTGGCAAGGCCCCAGACTCTTCAGGGGAACATTCTGGGGTTGCCCCAAACAGGCGGCATCTGTTTCCAGCTTCTGGAGACACCCCAAATAACAGCTCTTGACCTCCCCCCCCCCCCCCCCCCCCCAATAAGCCTCCCTCTCTGCCCCTGCTGCCCTTCCACTCCCACCCTCTCCTGTAACCTGGGCCAGCAGGCAGCTGGCTGCAGGGAGGCCGAAGCTGGAGGCTAGGGTGTGGGTTCCAGAGCCACCAGAACTGTGGGGGACACCTGCTTTGAAGTCCAGAAGGGCTGCAGTGCTCCATGCTCCACGCACACAGCAGCTTCTGGTTACAACCCAGTGCCCACAGCTGCCAGGAGGGGATGCTGCAGGGGGCCCGCAGAGCAGAGGCCCCAATCTGTCCTGGATGAGAGTGGGACAGGCTCCATCCCCAGTGGAAGAGGCCAGAGGAGAGGGACACTGCAGAGGCTGGACCTGCCGGGCCGCCGTCCAGCACCGTCCAGGGCTCTCACCGCCTCCAAATGGCGGGAGAGGCGGAAACAGGGCGGACCACCTAGGGTCCCGGAAAGGTGAACAAGCCTTGCTCCGGGACGGGAGAGAGGCTTCCTTTAGGGCAGGGGAGGTGGCCGACAGGCCCTGCTCCAGGACGTAGGAGAGCCAGGCCGCCCCAGATTGGACGACACCGTGGGGCTGGCCTTCCCCCAGCGCCGGCCTCCGAGAACCAGTCGGGGGCGGGGCCTCGCGGAGGCGGGAGGCGGGGGGCCGGTCTTGCACGAGCTGGGCGGGGCCGGGCTGGGGCGGGGGAGGAACGGGGCCTGGCCGGGGAGGGGGGGAGGGGGGGGCGGAATCCAAGCGGGCGCGGTGCGCACGCGCTTCGCTTGCGGAGCGGCCTTCGGCGGTCTCTTCTGCAAATGGGCTCCGTGGCCTAGCGTCCCGGTCCCCGCCACGTGTGATCGCGCGCCGAGGCCCGCTAGGGGTCGTCGCCGAGGTGAGGACCGGGGCGGCGCGGGAGTCGAGTCGAGGGGCCCGAGGGGGCGGCGAGGCGCGGCCGCCGCGGCTGGGGGGACCGACCGACTGGCGGACGGAAGGCCGGACGGCCGGGGGCGCGGGGTGGGGGCGGGCGGGACCGGCGGGTTCCCGGAGCCCCAGGTCCGCGGCCCGGCGCACAAAGCGCCTTTGTTGTGCCCGCCCGGCCGGTTCGGGCCGGTTGGCGCCGCCCGCGACCTGCGAGACCGCCCCAGCCGGCCGGGACTCCGCCCCCGCTCGGGTAAATCTGCCCGGCGGCCCTGACCCCGGCGTCCGGATGGGGGCGGGTCAGCCCGAGTGGGGAACGCCCTTCGCGAGCGGCGGCGGGTGACCGGAGGGGCACCCCAACCCCTGCGTGCACAGGTTTCCACCAGCCCGCAAGCGACAGCATGGCAGCCATCCCCTCCAGCGGCTCGCTCGTGGCCACCCACGACTATTACCGGCGTGAGTAAGCCCCTCGCCCTCTGCCCTACAGGTCTTCTCTGGGAGGGGGGAGGGCTGCCAAGGACCCGTGGCTCTGCCTGTGTGCTGCCAGCCTAGCCAGCATTTGGCCCGGTGGACAGGGCAGGGCGCGCGGTGCCCTGCGGAGCTGACCAGGCCTCTCTTCTCCAGGCCGCCTGGGCTCCACTTCCAGTAACAGCTCCTGCGGAAGTGCGGAGTATGGTGGGGAAGCCATCCCTCACCACCCGGGTGAGTGCAGGACCACTCCCCTTGGGTGTGGGGCACCATCGGGGCATCCCCCCAGGAGTGGGCAGCAGCACCACGACCCCACTTTGTTCCTCTCAGGTCTCCCCAAGGCCGACCCGGGTCACTGGTGGGCAAGCTTCTTCTTCGGGAAGTCCACTCTCCCGTTCATGGCTACAGTGTTGGAGTCTCCAGAACGGTGAGGACACATTCCTGGGGGCCAGCATGGGACATGGGGGCAGGTGGAAGCCGCCTCTGACCACAAGCTCTCCCCCAGCTCGGAATCTCCCCAGGCCTCCCCTGGCACGATCACCTGCGACTTGGCTCTGGAAGCCATGAGGAAGCAGCCTGGTGGCCAGCCTGGCAAAGCCAACACAGGGCCGCCGTCCTGAGTGGCCACCGCCAGGCTTCAGGAAGCGCTAGGCTCATCAGAGCCCCTCCCCTCCCGTTCGTTCCCTTCCTTCCCCATAGACTAGGCAGGCTGCCGCAAGCAGAAACAATTGGGTTCTTTTATATCAAAATAGCAAAACACCCAAAAGGAAGTTGAGAGGATCCCACTCTTTACTCTCCAAGCCACGTGAAAGCCTTCCTCACACCCTGGAACCGTGTGCCTTGCACCAAATGGAAAATAAACTCCAAGCAGCCAGTGGCCCCATGGTGTATGTGAGCTGCGTGCCCCCCGGCCTGTGGTGAAAGTCACCAAATCCTTCTCAACCTATTTCTTGGCGGGGGCGGGGAATTGACCTTGCCGCCTGGGCCTTCCTGGGGCCCCTCACTGGGGAGCCACCTCTCAGGTCTGGCCCAGGTTCACACGGGTGACAACTTTAGCGAGTATGGGGCCTTGTCACCTGAGAAGGGGTGGGGTGCCTTGCTGTTTTGGGGAGCCTGGGAGAGCAGGCAGTTCTGGAGTTGGACGAGAAGTCTCCCGGGCAGCCACTGAGGTTCGAGTCCTCAGACTTGGCCCCTGGCCGCTGGGGAAAGCTGGGCCTCTGCCTGTGGGTTCAGGAGTGGCCCCCCGGCCACCCGTTTTGACCACACCAGGGAGGGCAGGGAGGGAACAGGACCAAGGCTGTCCCAGCTGGTGTGGAGCAGCTCCCTGGGCCACGCTCCCTCCATGTGCCTTCCTAGAACGGAGTTTCCTCTTGTAGCCCGTTGTAGGATACAGGGGGGGTACGGGGACGCAAAATTAATTACTAATTTTTGAGAGGTAAGGGGTATGGGGGCGTTCCAGTGGGGCCTTCTCACCCCAGGTAACCCGGCTTTGGACACATCCAACAAGGGACCTGGGGAGGGTGTGGCTGTGCCACCCTTTACCGGCCTCCTGGGGCAGGCGTGACTGGGGGGCTGGTTGTGCCCACGCACTCTTACTGGTCAGCAGGGGTTGGCCCAGGTCCGCTGGTCAGAAGGGCAGCTTAGTGAGAGGTGGATGGGGGCTTAGTGTGAGGTTAGGGGAGCCCGTCCTCAGCTCCTGCCCTTCCCTCCGTGGTGTGCTGTAAATAGCTGCACAGGTCCAATCCAAGGCCTCGCCAGCCTGTGGCCACCGTCCTGTGCTCCCCGGTTGTGTCCAGGCAGAAGGCCCTTCCCACCTCCAGATGGACCCAGAGTGGGGGGAGGTGCCCCAGAGGACAGTCTGTGCACTACCCATTGTCCAGATGAGTCCCTCAGGGCCCCTGTGGGCAGCTGCTGATGGCCGTGGCAGGAAGACGGGGATGGTACCTCACCCCTGGCAGGAGAGAGCAGTGCCCCACCCTCGTCTTCACAGAGTTCTGGGAAGTCCATGTTCCCCCCAAGTCAGGAGACAGGCACGGGCCAGGTGGCATAGGGTGAGCCCAGCCAAAGCCCGGGTCCCTCCCGTGTACCACCTGGGGAAGCTGAGCCCCGGTCCTGATTGAGCTGGTGGGCTTTGGGGTCAGGACCAGCAGCAGGGCTCTCCCTTTAGAAGGGAGGGTAGCCAGGCTCCTGGAGGGTTCCAGAGTTGGAGTTGGCTGTGGCGGGCCCTGGCACTTTGCAGGAGCTGGTGTCTTAGAAGGAGCAGATAGGAGGTCGGGCAGCCCCCGCCCCCAGACTGCAGAGGGCATGCTTCCCCTGCCCCAGGACAGGGCTGGCCCACAGCTGGACGAGCGCTGTCCCCCAGGTGTCCGGCCCGGTTCTGGGAGCTGTCTGCACCTTCAGTCTGCTCGTCCTGATGGGAGGTCCAGGACGGCACCCAGACCCATCTTCACAGGACCTGGCCTGGTGGCCTCCGTGGCCGCTGCAGAGAGGGTGTCACACTCAGAGGGGGTTCTCGTACCTGCTGATAACTGGAGAGCTTCTGTACGCCTTTGAAGCAGAGCCTATGTGCGGCGGGTGGGCACTCCAGGGGGCAGGGCATGTGGTAGCCTGAGTTCACCCTCAGGAAGGCCTCGTGGTTGGAAATGCCTGTGGTGGGGCGGCCAGAGGAGCTGCAGGGGCTGAAAGCTGGTGCCCACCTAGCCTCCCCTCGCCCCTGGGAAGCCACACTGCCATCTGCCGCTCTCCCAGGAAGCCCTGGGCCGATCTCCTGCCTGCCTCACCCCTGCACACGCTCCTGATGCCCCTGGAGGGCTGCCCCTGGGAGGCTGGCTGGTGCAAGTGCCAAGTCCAGGTGACGGCACCCTCCTGCCCAGCCCGCCACTGGGGACGCTGTCAGGGGCCCAGTAGCTGGATAGGGCATCTGACCCCTGCTGAAAATCTCATGGAGAAGAATCCCGAAGGACCAGATGGAGTAAAGCTCTCGGAAGAGGGCCTCGGAGGCGGTCCACTTGTAGGGGATGTTGTGGTCGTGGGAAAGGTAGATGTCCTCCTGCAAGCGGACACGTGCGGGCTGGGCCTCAGCGGCTGCCCTCACCCCCCCCCCCCACCCCAGCCATGTGGGCAGGGGATGGGGTTCTCATGGGCCAGTGCAGCCGGGCACTGACGACCGCCACTAGAGGGAGGTGCTGCTTTCCCTCCGATTGGCTTCGGGGCTGAGCTGGCAGGTCAGGGCCAGGGTAAGCGAGGCCTGCCACCTGGCGGCGGTGTCACAACCACACAGGTGGGCCAGCGTGAGCATGCGCACGGTGTGACTGCCGCGGAGCAGCCTGCAGGCGTGTTCACACCACAGGCTCACAGAGCTGCCCAGCTCCCCCTGGACACGCTCCGAAGGGCTGGAAGAGTCACGCTTAGCCTGCCTTCCCGCCTGGCCTGCCCCGCAGCTGGTCACCGAGTGGATGAGGGAAATGCGTCTCTAGAAGCATCCAGCTTATGGTGAGGAAGGAACTGCAGCATCAGGACAGCCGCCCGGGGGCGAAGGGCCCTGGACTCGGCCTCAGTGCCCCACAGCGCCCGAGCGGAGGGCGCCAGCCCCAGAGGGTGAGAACAGCCCGAAGAAGCAGTCAAGCCGTTGTGACCCGGGTCCGCTCCAGGAGCAGACCAGTGACGTCGTGGCTTTCAGGAACTTGGAAACAGCTCTGTATGTGGGGGCACGTGATGACTGTAAGGAGTCCCTGTTAAGTATCAAAAGTGTGATTGTGGCTGTTTTTATTTGGGGTCCTTGTAGAGATCCTGAAGTGGGCGCGTGGGGACTCAGGTCTAACTGCGTGGAAGGAGGCTGGGGGGCTGGTAGGGGCCGATGGGGGCAGGGGGCTCAGGACACCATTCCGTCCACTGTCTGCTGTGTGGGGGTGGCTGGGGGGGATGTTTGCCCTGAGCTCACAAAGCACTCCCGGCCTCTGCCCTCACTGCACACCCAAGGCAAGCCGCCATGAATGAGCGAGCACAGGTGCGCTCTCCTCCCCCCCCCAGCCCCCATGCAGCCTCCCTTTCCTCCTGCAGCCCCTGCAAGTGCTGACACCCCCCTTCCAGCCTCAGAGCCCTCTGGGAAGCCTCCATTCTCAACCGGGGTGTGGCTCCACAGTCTTGCATCTTGCCCTCCAGCTTCCTGTCCTGCTCAACCAGCCTCCCCGAGGGTGAGGGCAAGGCTGAGGATGCACAAGCCCCCTGGGAACCCCCGCTCCAGGCGCAGAGGACGCCCTGCACTCCCCTCATGCCCCAGGCCCTACCTTGATGAGCCTGGCTAGCCCAAAGTCCCCACTTCGCAGATGTTGTTGGCCCCCACAAGGATGTTCCTGGCAGCCAGGTCCCGGTGGATGTAATTCTGTGACTGCAAGTAGCACATGCCCTCAGCCACCTGTGACGCAAAGTCTGCCAGCTCCGAGACGGGCAGGGATGTCTCGGAGTCTGCGGGGCCGGAGAGCCGCAGTCAGAGGGGCTCTGCGTCCCGCCGGGCTCGGGGACCAGGCCGGGATGGGGCAGCCGCCTCACGTTGGCCCAGGGGGCCCGTCGCAGCCCTTCTGGAAGGCGGTTACGGGTTTGAGCCGAAGCACAGCTCGTACGCACCCTTTGCCCCCAGTATCCTTTCCGGGGATCTGCACTAAAGCGGGAGGAACGTCTACACAGTCGAAAACCTCAGAGAGGTTCAACACCAGGTAAATGGCTGAACGGGCACAGCTCGTGGACATGGTCTGCTCTGGCGCGCCGTCCCGAAGAACCTCTGATGAGGGGACCTGGCCGCAGTGATCAGACTCGCCGTGAAAAAGGCTATGTTCGGTGTTCAACGTCGCCACGTAAAAATCTGCCAGGGCACACGCGCCCTGGATGTCACGTTCCTGCAGCATCCACTCGGCGCCACTCGAGCCCCGTGACGTGGGGCTGTGTCCGCGCGCCGTGGCACCTCGGCTAGCTAGCAGCGATTGTGTTTGGTTTGGGTGTTAAATGAAATAATAGGCCCTGTGACAGGTGATGGGGTTTGTGAGTCTGTGAGATCCATCGTGTGTGTTGAGGGGGTGTGCGCGCGGGTGGAAGTGTTCATGCACATCCAGACACCGCAAGAAGGCCAGCACCTTCCAGAGAGAAAAGCCGAGCCAGGCCTGCAAGTTCCGGAAGCTGGGGGGTGGGCGGGCCTCGCCTGGCATTGGAATAAAATGGCCTCAGTTAACTGCACGTAGGAATTACAGCCTTTCTCGCCTTGTTTGTACTTCTCTGTGTTTTCTCCAGTTCCTACAATGAGCAGATGGTGCATTTACCACAAGATATTTTAAATGCCTTCTCAAGCAGGGCCCGGCCAACAAAGACGTCAAAGCTCCCTGGTGGCCTGTGCCTGGTAGGGGGGCGACGTGGGTTTTCTCTTTCTTTGTGCAAGTTTCCCACGCCCTCAGCAAGCACGGGTCACTTGGATCCCCGGGCAAGGAACCCCGAGTGCGGCCCACGGCCGGCTCACCCCATAGCAGCTCCCGCAGGCTCCCCCTGGGCACGAGCTCTGTGACGATGTACACCAGGTGCGGCTTCTTCATGGCCTGGATCTCCGACTGGAACGTGTGCTGGTGCAGGAGGTCATCTGCGGGGGCAGGCGGCCTCGGTGGGTGTGGCCCCAGTCCTGGCGGCCCCCACCCACCTGCACGCAGCAGCTGCTCAGGATGTGTGGGCGCCCCCCCCCATGGGATGCCACGGCACCAGGGCCACGGGCCACGGGAAGGGGACGCTGTGCCCACCACCTGCTCTTGCCGCACACCAAGCACCACGATTGCCAACGCCTGCCCACACCCGAAGCGAAGCAGAACATCCCCCAAGTGTGTTCCCGTGAGCCCCCGATTCCTGGAGTGGGGGGTCCAAACCCCTAGTGGATTTAAAGGAAATTTTAGATGAATCTTTAAAAATTTTTAGTGATCTATGTGTTTTAATGGCTTTTCATTTACATTAAAAATTTAAAAAAACCTTTTTAAATAAATGCATTTAGCTGAAAACAGACATTGAAAGGAAAATGCCCTCTGGATGCTGTTGCAGACGCCGCACGCGGTGCATACTGGGCCAGCGTGTAGCAAATGGGACCCCCACCCCGCAAGCGAGGCCAGGAGTCCCTGTTGGGTCCCTGGCCTGGGGCCCACTCACCTCGAGCAATCACCTTAATAGCCACTCAGACGCGGTCTTTCCAGAGGCCTTCGAAGACCTCCCCAAAGTACCCGGACCCCAGCTTCCTGCAGAGCGTGAAGTCCCACGGTCTCTCCCAGTCTTCACACTGGGGCAGGGGCTTGGGCTCATTTTGGAGGGACAGGCAGGGGCACAGGGCAGGGGTGCTGTCCCCATCCCCTAGCCCACCCTTCAGGAACTGCGCACTCTGACCCCAGGACGGGGAGCCCCTACTCTATCCTCAAATGTAGAGCAATGTTTTTCTTGGTGAGGTCCCAGCGTCCAGCATGTAGCCAGGCTTTCCCAGGAGCTGCCCCCACCACGGCTGCCCTCTGCAGTATCCTGCAAACACCCTCACTGCCTGCTGCAGGGTTTTGGCTACGTGAGGCTCAGTGATGTTGGGGATGCTGTGATGTTGGCTGAGTGCCACTCGGACAAAACTCTGGGCCCAAGGGACGCAGGATATGGCAGGAGCATAGCTGACCTCTCCCTGGCCCAGGGGTGAGAGCGACCTGGCAAAGGAAGGCACATCCCACCCCACCTGCCTGCTCCGAATGCCCAGGTCTGTAGGACCATGGCGTCCAGGACAGCGAGAGTCCCTGGGGCCAGGTGTCCCCGAGCCCCCTCCAGCCAGCAAGCGTGTCAGGACCCACACCCACCCTGTGGAGGAGAGGGGGGCCACAGGTGGGCGGAGGATGAGCAGGGGCAGCAGGGTGCAGGCGGCCATCGCGCCGCCAGATCGTGTAATGCCTCGCGGCCTGCCCGTCCCACACTTCAGGGGGTGGGGGGAGAGCCCAGTGGATGCGTGCATGCAGTCCCAGCCCCTCCCCTCCGAGGGGCCCTCGCGGGCCAGGCATCCCGCCCCGTGGCCCGTCTCCTAGCGAAGAAAACCCAGACCCGGCGGGACCCCAGGGACAAGCCGCCCACTGGAGGGAAGGCTGGGCCGGGTTGTGGCAGATGGACGGAGGGGGCCGGGCCAGGACAGGCCAGGGGCAAGGAGCCCTGAGGCCAAGTGCAGGTGGGGCCACAGACTAGGGAGAAGGTGTGGGAGGCCGTACCTGAGAGAACATAGCGCCCGGCTTCTCACGGACCCTGACCAGGAAGGCCCCTGGCTCGATGCCCTCGGCCTGCAGCCGATGCAGGGCTTCCGAGCGCGAGATGCGCCCAAAGAACCACCTGACGGGCGGGGGCGGTCCTGAGCCTGCGCCGACCTTCAACCCATGCCCACTGACCCCACGTCCTCCCACCTGCCTACCCCGAGTCCCAGCCCCCCTCGCCTGACCCACAGCTGCTCTCTGATACTGTCCCTGGCCAGAGACCACTTCGTTGCCCATCAGAGACCCCAAATGTCCCAAATAGCCAGTCTGGACACCAGGAAGAGCCTTAGTGACCCAGAAGGGGTACAGGCACCTGCCACCACCCTGCCCAGAGTGTCCCCTGTCTGTAGAGTCAGAGCCGCTCCTGTCCCAGAGACACACCACCTATCCCAGGAGTGGGACCACACTGTTCTGTGACCCGGGCCACAGATGCTCTGCTCTAGGACCATGGGACCTGCGGTTCGGCAGGCTCTGCACGTGCGTGCTTACACACAGACCCACACGCACACGTGCTCACGCACACCAGCACCAGGGCACGGACAAGCCCGGATTGCAGGGTGGGGCTGCCAAATCCCCAGGTGACTTCTGCTGCCGGCTGCCCTGCCCTTGGTCCCTATTCCTTCAGGCGTCACTGGAACAGAAGCCCCCCCCCACCACACAGAGCCCCATGAGGGTGGCCCCACCCAGACCGATTTAGCACATCTCGAATCTCATTTGCTCACCACTCCAAGCACCCTGCCTCCTTCCTGCTTTTCAAATGCACTAGGTTCTCAGGACCTTAGGGCCTTTGCACCCGCTGTGCCCAGCTCCGCACTTCCCTGTCCTTGGACTGTGCTGTCTATGAATGTACTGCGTGTCTCCCTGCACGCGTTCACTGTGCTACTCCTCCAGCGTTCAGGATCGCCGGACCATAGGCGGGCAGTGGAGTCTCTCCTGCGGGACCCTCCCGGCCCAGAGCTCAGAGGAGTGAGCTCAGGTGGCTGTGCACACGCCCACGCCAGGCTGCCCCTTGTGGTCCAAGCTTCCTGGGCAGCCCCTTGGGACCAACCACCACCTCCAGGATCCTCCTTACCAGTGACGGGGCAGCCTGCAGCCCACGCCCAGACAGGCATGTCGCAATGACCTTCCTGCTCCCTCTAACTAGGTCATGCATCTGGTTTCAGCTGTTTGGAAGGTGAGTGAAGCTTTGCTCCCCAAAAGGCCCAGTCCCTGCCTTAGACTCCTACACAGACCCCATCCCTGTTGGCTGGCCACCCAGAAGCCCATCGTGGACCCTTCTGTCCTCTCTGGGTCCTGGCACCACAAAGTGACCACGGGGGAGTCCACGGGAGGAGCCACGTACCCACAGATGTCCCACTGCGAAAGCCTAGTCAGATCTCCTGGGACCAGGATGGTGGGGTTCAGCCCCAACTAGGGGGCACCGAGAGGCGGAGTCACGTGTCCCCTATCCTCATTGGCTTCCAGGAGGCTGGCCCAGCACCCTGCCCCTTCCCAGAGCCCAGCCACAGAACTGTCCCGAGGACTGCCCTGCCCTGAGCTCTTGAGGGGCCTCGGGGAGCAGGGAATGGGGGCAGCTTGGGGTGACCCATGAGGGCCATAGGGACACTCACAGCTCAGACTCTACCGTTTCCTTCTTGGCCAGAGAGTTGTGGGGCACATAGCCCTCGACCAGGGCCCTGCCCGTCACATCCAGCAATGTGGCCCACCACCACTCCTCCTCCTTCCTGGCCACGTGGAACAGATCCCCCACCCAGAAGCTCAGCTCCTCAACCGTCCGGGCCTTGAAGTCCCAGAGGCCCACGTTCTGGGGGCCCGGGTGAGCCTGGCCCCGGGATACCATGGCGGGTGCAGCGGCAGGACTGGCCTCCTGGCCTCACCACCTGTCACTAGGCAGGCCGCAGCACCACCCGTGGCTGGGAGCAGTGGGTGAGTGGGGCCAACCCTGACAGGCCATCTCCACCCAGCCGAGGAGCTGGCCCACTTCCCCGTGATGAGGCGGCCAAGCCAGGCCAGCCACACATGCACCCACCAGGGTGGCCTCTCCCTGAGCTGCCCAAACACCCAGGGCTCCACCCTGACGGCCCAGCAGCTCCACCTGCCCTTCTACCCACTGAGGCCAGGTCAGTCTGGGTACTGCTCTTGCCCACCTGCTCCAGGACGTGTGCCCACCACGTGGACAAGGGGAAGACTGAGTAACTGGTTAGACAGGGCCTTCCTGGGGTCCAGTTTAGCGGTGGGGGCTCAGGTGTGATTGGAACCCAGGTGGGAGGGGGAGAGGAGGAACGGAGGCCTGTGGGTAAGTCACCCCTGCCCACCCCGCAGGGGCCTCGGGGACGGAGCCGGGCCAGGGGGACAGTGAGCTCTCACAGAGTTGCTGCTGGAGGCCAGGTGGCCGCTGCCTCCCTCTCCCTTCCCCGGAGGCTCTCAGCCACGCTCCCCACCACCAACCGCTGAGGGGAGCTGCGGTGGCTGCAGCCGTCCTGGACGCTGGCCTCCAAGGGACAGAAGGTGGGCAGGTGCTAGAAAGAGGGAGCCACATGGAGGCCGTGGGGTGGGGGCTAGGAGGGGCCCGCAGCAGAGAAAGAAGAGCCCCGAGGGGAGGTGAGGACCGGGGCGTGAAGAGGGCTCAGGGTGAGTGCCATCCGCCCTCGGCCACCACGTCTTGGAGGGTGCGGGGACTCTGCCCCCGTGATGGGAGCTCCAGGAGGACGACGGACAGGGGCGTGGGGGAGGGCGCTGGGGATCGTGTGCTAAGCCTGATGTATTTGCACGACTCACCCCATTTTGAGATCAAGAGGAACGTGTATTACTCAGTAAGTTCACACTCATTCTCGCAGCCCCGTTCAGTGCTGACCAGGGTGGGGAAGGGGCCAGGGAGCTGAGCAGAGGGCAGGGCTAGGTCGGGGGGCCCGGGTCTCCAAGGCACCCCTGCTGCGTGTCCAGCCCTCATTGTGGGGCAGCATGCTCCTGGCGCCCCCACCCTCGGGCCTGACCATGAGCTCATGCCCAGGGGCCTTGGTGTGTCTCTCGTGCAGGCATCCGGGGTTCTGCCCCGCAACACCAGGAAGCAGGACAGCACTGAGACGGAAAACCCCCCCGCCCTCCTGAAGGCTCCGGAGCAGCAAACCTGTTCGGCTTGTGGCTGATGAGACACGCTAGGAATGCACCAGTGACCCCCGCACGCGCCCGCCTCTGGTCCCAAGCCCAGCACACTCCTCTCAGCGCCGGCTGCCCAGCCCCGCACCACACTCACCTGCCGCTGTGTCAGGAAGTGTCCAGTTCCGTCTCTCACCAGGAGGCCCCTCAGCCCTCCCAGGGCAGGAAGGAGGCATCCAGGCTGCAGGCCAAGCCCTCCTGCTCCCACCAGCCCCCCAGGTGGGGGCTGGCCCAACCCTGGCACCCAAGGCTCCAAGGGGCTCCTGCCCTCTCCCAGCTCAGCCCTGCCCCACACCCAGGCAGATCTGGGTGGCTCGTGCCTACCTCCGCCCTCTGTGCTGCCCTCGCCCGCGGTGACCTCAGCACCCTCTCCTCCAGGAAGCCCCCCACCACTCCAGCCCTGCACAGCCTCTGCGCCGAGTGTGGGCTCCCGGGTACCCCCTGCGCCAGCCCGTGGGCAGGGCCTGTGGTCCGTGGGGAGGAGCTAATGGGCCTGAGCAGGTGCGGAGCTGACCCTAAACTGTGCATAGTGGACTGTTCCCACCAGGGGACAAGGAACAGAGGGCAGCTTTGCATGCCTCTGCCCTTCTGTCCCACAAGCCTTCTGGGGTAACAGGAGGGTGGGGGATGAGGACCCTGAACACAGACCACACCCGCCTGGTCCCTTGCCCCTCTGGTCCATCTCATGGTGACTGGAGAACCAGCTTGTCCCACCCGGCTCCTCATTCAGTGATGCCAACAGCGGCTTGAAATCAGCCCTGGAGGGAGCAGGCTGCTTCCTTCTCCCCAGAGAGCTGGTTGTGACCCAGTTGCCCGAACACCGTGGCATCCGGCCCCACCCCTGCCTGACCCTGCACAGCCGGGCCAGCACCCAGGACCCTGAACCACTGAGACAGACTCTGCCTCCCTGACCTTTGCCCCGCCCCAGAGAAGGACCCCGAGAGTCTCCCACCCCCAGGAACGGCCACGCAGCCTGACCTGCCCGTGGCCCCCACCCAGCCCTCCCTTCCCTCACTTCAGTCGCTGCCCCAGGGACACGGAGTGGGCTGTTCACCCCTGCAGCCTGCAGAGGTCATGCTTCCTGTGGGAACAGGGTCCCCTGGGGCGGGGGTCCGGGCCACAGGGGCCAGCTCTGCTTCAGTGAGCCAGCTGATGGGCCACTCCGTCAGCTCCAGCTCCGGATCTGGGTCTGGGGGCCAAGGCCCACGTGCGACACGTGTCTGTGCATGTGTCTGAACCAGTCACCGCATATTTATTCAGCATACGGGTCTGTACACAGGCAGCCGGTGTGCCCAGCCCGTGCTGCATCGGCCCCGTGCCCGGGGTCTGCCTTTCCAGCATTGGCCACGGGGGACTTTGCAGAAAACTAGGGAGCCCTGTCTCTGCCTCTCGGCCCTGGGAGGAGTCGGGGCTGCCCAGGGCCGCAGGTGTGGGCAGGGGGCCGTGGACCAGGCTCAGGGCTTCTCTGTCCAGCAAATCCCTGAGGCCAAAACCCATACAGGTCCCACCCTGACTGCTATGCCGAGATCTTCCCTGGCCAGGGACACCAGCCCCTCCTGAGTGGGCGTCTGCGTGTGTCTGTCTTCCGCACACACGTGTGTGCTGGTCAGCACGTGTGTCAGGGTGCGAGGCCCACAACCAGAGGCCGTTCCAGGCCGCCGGCGCCCCTCCATGGGTCGACAGCCAGCATCATCCTGGGGGGACACGCCAGGCAAGGAAGAGTAGCCCCAGCCCCTGTGTCCAACGCCCCAGGTCACGTGTGGGCAGGGGCAAGGCGCCTATGGGCCGCACTCAGCTTCTTCTGCAGTGTCGTGAAGGCCGGCCGCTCCTCGGGGCTGCCCTTCCAGCACTCCAACATGAGCGTGTAGACCTCCGCCGGGCAGGAGGCTGGGCGTGGCAGTCGGTACCCTCGCGTGACCTGCTGCAGGGTCTCGTGGTTGCTCAGTCCTGCAGAGGGGCAATGAGAGGGCCTGGGCAGGGCTGCCTCGCTTCTGCGTGGGGATCACGGTAGACACCTCCCCCCAGCTCCTGGCCAGACCCTGCCCAGCAGGAGTCCTGGAGGCGTGGCGCCCCTTCCGGGGTCGGGGACCCCCAGGCAGGGTGTGCCTCCTCCCTCAGACCACACAGGCCTGGTGGAGGCCTTGCCTCCTCCCTCAGGCTCCTTTGCAGCCCACCTTCATAGGGACACTGGCCATAGGTGAAGACCTCATAGAGCAGAACTCCGAAGGACCAGACGTCCGACTTCTGAGAGTAGATGCGGTAGTTGGCTGCCTCGGGCGCAGTCCACTTGACAGGGATCTTGGAGCCACTGCTTGGGGAGTAGATGTCATCCTGGGTGAGGGGAGACCAGTGGTGGGTGGACGAAGTGGCATCCTCCCCTCCCAGCCACGGCGGGGTCAGGGGTCCCAGCCCCGAACTGACCTTGAGCAGCCGGGCCAGGCCAAAGTCAGCCACCTTGCATGCCAGGTCATCGCCCACGAGCACGTTCCTGGCCGCGAGGTCGCGGTGCACGATGCGCCGGTCCTCCAGGTAGCTCATGCCCTCAGCCACCTGGCAGGCAAAGCTCAGCAGGAGAGGCGGGCCCAGGGCCCGCCCCTCGGGGCCTGTGGGGCAAGGAGGACACTCAGGGGGGCAGGGGTCTACACCGTCACTTCCCTCCGTGCCTCAGTGTCCTCGCCCCAAAGACAGGGTGGCCCAGGCTGCAGGGGGCACCGTGCTGTGCAGTGACCACTCAGGGAGGCTGCTCCTGGGCAACCCGGCCTGAGCACCCAGGAGAGACCAGACCCAGGGGAGGTGCACGGGGCTGGGTGCACAGGGGCTGGCGACACGGATGCGCCCAACCCCACTGCACTTGGCTCAGCCTGGAACAGCGAGGCTCTGACTGCCCCCCTCCACAAGGTACAGGACTGGTCCAGGCCCGGGGCCCGAACCCACTGTTGGCCAGAGCCCACAGCAACCCTCTGGGCCTCAGACGGTCAAGCCTGGTGCAACCTCAAAGACCCGTGCCGAGAAGGGGGTCAGGAGGTCACAGCTGTGCATGGAAGCCTGGGTCACCCGGACAGCTACCAGCGGGGGCGGGGGGCGGGGGCGGGCAGCCACTCACTCCCCAGGAAGGCCTGCAGGTTGCCCTTGCGCATGAGCTCGGTGACGATGTACACGGGCTGGCCCTCGGAGCACACAGCGTGCAGCCGGATGAGACGCTCATGCTTCAGGCTCTTGAGTGTCTGGATCTCCTTGCTGAGGTCTGCGAGCTTCATGTAGGCTGCAGGAGAGGGCACGGCTCCAGGACCTGCCCACACCACCCTGGCGCTGCCCCAGGGCTCCAGGGGTCAGAGGGCAGGGCGGGCAGGGGCCAGCAGGCCTCACCCACCTGACTTAATGACCTTGACCGCCACTGGTGTGGAGCCAAGCCACAGGCCTTCCCACACCTCCCCGAAGTAGCCTTCACCCAGTTTCCTCCGCAGGGCAAACTCCGAGCGAGGCCGCTCCCACTCGTCCTGCTGGGGGAGCTTCTGAGGGGGCGGGGGGCACTCCATACCTCTGCTTGCTGCTCTCTGGAAGGGCGAGGCAGTGTCTCCGGGAGCGCCAGGCCTGCAGCCCCTCGGCCAGGCCGAGGCCAAGGGAGCTGGGTGCAGACCTCCAGAAGCCTGGCCCCACTCGCTTCTGGGCCTAAGTGGCACCTTTGCTGGAGGTGGACACCCACCCACGAATAGTCATTACGGCCCCAGCCAGGCTGTCATTAGCAACCGGAGGAACTGGATCGCTGCCCCTGGCAGGACCGCTTGTGCCCACGGCCCAGGCGAGCGTCCCCTCCTCCAGCTTCCGCCTGTGGCAGGTGCGACCCCTCCCCAGACGCCTCCCCAAGCTTGCGCCCAGCCCTCATGGCCCCTCTGCAGAGCTGGGTCTGGGACCGGGGGGACCCTCCAGGTCTCACCGCACCCCCAGCCCCAGAAGTCCCCAGAGAAAGAGATGCCCGCCCATGAGAGCAAACCCAATCCCAGGCAGGGCCCTGGCCAGAGTGTGGAGGTATAGCCGGGGCCCCCAGGGCCCCCAGGCCTTTCCGGACCCCCCAGCCATGCTGGGAGCCTGGCCTGGGCTGCTGCCTTGCTCACAGCCCTGGACATGTGCTGGGCAGCTGGGCGGGAGGCACGGTCGGGGACTGGCCCACCTGGGGCACACAGGGCTGCAGCAGTGGGTTCCGGATCAGCTTCCAGTTGGCCTTGTAGTAGGCAAGGAGCTCCTCCAGGTTGGGGAAGAGCCGGCCCTTCTGCAGGTAGAGACCGTCGGCTGCCGTGGAGATGCGGTAGTGGCGAACTTTGGCCTGCGCCCGGACTGGGGGTGGGCACAGGTGAGGGCCGTGTCTTGCTGCAGCCTGCCCCAGACCCTCCCAGCACCCGGGCCAGGGAAGCAGATAAGCACTACAACCTTCCCTGGGTCTCATGGGGAAGGAGGGAGTGTGGGCAGCTACAAGCCAGAGGGGCAGTGAGAGGGCCCAGGGCGGGCACTCGGTGGACCCCCGGCACGTGGGTGAGTCCGAGAGTGAGTGGACCAAGGAAGGGCGGGTGAGTGAGGAGCGAGCCGTGGTGGGGGATGGGCAGGCGAGGGAACGAGGGGTGGGGGGCGGGCAGTGAGCCTGCAGGTGGACGGACCAGCAGGCGAGCAGACGAGGGAGGTGACCAGGCCTGACGTGGGGCCAGCAAAGCCTGGGGAGCCCCCACCCCAAGGCCAGTGCGGGGACAGAGGCGCGAGCGGCCGTCCGGTACCGGATAGCGAGTAGTCCCCGTGGCTGCTCTCACTGGGCCGAATGAGGAAGGTGCCCGGTGCATTGGCTGGGGACAGGAGCAGCTGCTGGGCCCCGGCGCGGCTGATGCCGCTGAAGTACCAGCTGCCAAGGGTGGGGCGCGGCGGTCACCACCAGGCCCAGGCCCGAGGGTCCCCTGCTCCCATGCTGCTCAGAGGCCCTGACGCCCATGCCGTTCAGGCAACAGGCCCAAGCCCGACTCCCACCATCTCTCGGGGACAAGGGGCCCCCAGAGCCCAGGGCAGGGGTCCCGGCCCCGGGTCTGCACCTGCCCCGAGCCCTCAGCGCCCCCGCCTCTGGATCATCAGGGAGGGGACAGGAGGACCATCTGGGCCGACATGAGCGCACACTGCCACTAGCAGTGACCTGAGTCAGGTGAGACTGTCCACACACCTCAGCCAGAGATTCCCCATTAGCCCTGCTCACAGAACCACCCAGCCCCGGCCAGGGGTTAACCTGCCAAACTCAAGACTGCTGAGCCCCTACTTGGGGGGAGGGTCTACAAGGAGCCAGGGGGCCCTGATGAGCAGCCCCCAGGCTGCAGCTGTGCATGGAGGACCACCAGCTCCACCTGGCCAGGCACAGCCCACTTGCCCGGAGAGGTGGACGGGTGGGGCCGACAGAGGCTTGGCCAGGAAGGCCCTGGAGGATGCAGCTGAGCCAGGCTAGGTAGGGGGTCTGGGAAGGCTGGAGGAGGCTCAAAGCATCACATGTCTGCCTCTGGGGGCCCTGCCCAGTGCAGGCCAGCCTGAGCCCCTGGCCCTCTACACATACAGAGAGGCTCCCTCTCTGAGCACTCAGACAGCAGGGGCTCCCAGGTGCCCACTCCTCAGTCTGAGTAGAATGCCCAGATTCCAGGAGCCCACACACCTGAGCATGGAGCAGGGCAGGACCCCCACCTGACACCCCATCTGGGCCGCAGTCCACCTGAGTCACACCACATGCACCTCCCTGGCTCCACATTCTTGGAAGGAAAGCAGAAAAGCCCCTGGTCCCACCCCATCGCCTGTGTCTGCTTCCCAAGGCCCAGGGAGGGGAACCCCACACCTGAGTCAGCTTCCTACCCTGGAGCCTCCTGCTTCCTGGAGATTCTGGGGACCCAGGGGCAGGAGGCCTGCTGCCTAAGGGAGAGCCTCAGTCGCTCGGGGGACAGCCCTGTGAGCATGGCCCTCGTCCACTCTAATGGGGGGAAACATGGGGTCCTGGGGGCCAGGGGGTTTTGCTCTGACCCCTACCTGGGGGTGCAGGACCAGCAGTTATCCTAGAGGACCCAAAGCAGGACTCAAAGTGAGTCGACACAAGGAGGGAGTGCCCTGAAAAGGGGGCACTGGGTGGATGGGCGGTGCCTGGGCAGGTGGGTGCTGCTGGAGCCTGGGGTGAGGCCAGGGCCTGGCAGGAGAGAGACAGAGATGGGCCTGCGCCTGGCACAGAGGCCCACGCGCCCCACGGAGAGCTACAGGAAGGGAGCTAGCACCAACGTGGCCAGAGCCAACCCTGGGGCTGGGCTGAGGGACGGCCAAGAGGAAAGGGCTGGAGACAGGAAGCCTGGGGCGACGGCAGACAGAGGCAGATGCCCCAGCAGCACTAAGAGGTAGGATCAGCACGCAGGGCAGAGAAGGGTCAAGGACACGGGGACATGGGTCCCCAAGACCAGACGTGGCTGGGCAGCAGGCTTCGGGAAAGCTGAGGAACTCAGTTCTCGACACACTGATTCAGGAGCAGGAGGTACAACCCCACGAGGCTGCCAGGCTCCATCTGCCGAGGGCCTCCTGCTGCCAGGCGCTGCCTTCTGACGCCCACCAGCTGGGAGAGCCCCCTCCCAGGACAGCAGGGCTGTGGGCGAATGGAGAAGCTCAAGTGTCCTCCTCCCAGCCCTCCCCTGGAGCCGAGGGCCGGGGATGTTCTGGGGAGCCTCTCCCTGGGGTGGGGCAGTGGCTGAGATAAGATGAGAGGAGCCTCACTGTCAGGGTTGAGGGTCCTCCCCCTGCCCAGGCAGTTTGGCCCTGGGGACAGACGGCCAGGTGTCTGGGACTAATGACACTGTGCGTGCGGCCAGGCCTTTCATCCTGGGCCCAGGCAAACAGTCATTACGGCCTCCTCCCAGCACCACCGCCTCTGACCTTCCCAGCCCTGCCGCTGCCGCCTCAAAGAGTGGCTCATGGGCTCTGTCTTCCCCTCGCAGAGTGACTATGGGCCCCCTCCCTATCGGAATGGCTGCCTGGTCCTTCCCACCGCTCCCAGCGGGCTGGGCCTGGGGCGGGGGCTGGAGTCCCCCCAGAAGGGGCCTTCCTGGGACTCAGGCTTTCCCATGCCACATGCAAATCCGCCAGGAGGCTGTGGGAGTGCCGAGGGGCTCCCAGGAAATGGGATGGCCTAGTGCAGTTGAGACCCAATGGTGGTCTGCAGAGGACACATCGGGGCTCAGGCCCAATCCAGCTGGGCACAAGACAAGAAGCCCTTGTCGGGGGGAGGTCTGGGCAGCTGGGCTGTTCACCAACCACATTATGGTCTTTTCTCACCCAGACTTCACCTCATGCGTGCTGGGGCAGGGGGCGGGGGTTGACATCGCTGTACCACATCTGTCTAGACATCAGGAATTGCAAAGGCCATGACATCCAGACTGATCCAGTGCATCCAGGGGAAAGACAGGGGGGGGGGCGGGGGGCACAACCAGAATTTGGATCCAGTGCTTGAGGCCCCTGCACGATGTCCACCACCATAGACAGAGCCCAGGTGGAGCCAGCACACAGCTGTACTAGGAGGCTACCCTGTCCCACAGACCCTAAGCCTGGGCTGAGAGGTCAGCTCCTCTCCAGGCCCTGTGGGAGAGCCTCCACTCTCTGCCTCCCTCCATGATTGCAGACTGACGAGCCAACAGCCAGGTGTTCACGCCAGCCCGTCCCTGCCTGTGGACTGTCCCGGCCCTAGGGGCCTTGGGTATGCTGGGGAGAATGGGTGAGCTTCCCCCACCTGCGTCCCCTCTCAAAACAAGCTTCTTTGGGAGCAATTCCAGGGCCATTTGTGCCCCATACCTGGCCAGTGCAGCAGGGAGAGCTCTGGGTGAATGTGGACCGGTGAGGGAGCAGGTGAATGCACTTCTCGGACTCAGCATATCACCCACTCTACCCTCTGGTCACCCCCTCATCCCTCACAGCATCTGGATGGCCTCTCTGCTCACTTATGTCCTCCTCGGGAGCCCCAGGAGGATAGGGGCCATGTCTGTCTCAGTTGGAACTGCACCCAGGACCCTAGCCCCTGCCCTCCAAGCAGTGACCACTCAGCTAACGTGGAATGAGAGACCCCCAGAGTGCGCTCAATGCCAGAGTTGAATCCCTGTGTGAGAGGGATTCAGGAGGGCCTGGCTTGCTGGGCCATGTCCCAAAGTGGCTGCCATGCTGGGTACCTGGCCAGGGGCATGCATACATGCTGTCCAGCTTCCTCGCCACTGGCCCTGACCACTGCTGCTGGAGTCATTGCTCTTAGCCGCACGGGGACACAGTCACTGGCGTCTGTCCCCCACCCCTGTGAGCTTGCTCACTGCTGCATGGCCAGGCCGGGAGGGGTCCTGGCCGTAGAAGGGAGGGAGGGATGGAGGGAAGGAAGGAAAGCAAGACAGCTCCTGGGACTCAATCCTGCCCTTTCCTGACTGCCTGGGGCAAGGTGCTACTCACGGGTCCTGGACACGCCATCCTGGGACTCAATCCTGCCCTTTCCTGACTGCCTGGGGCAAGGTGCTACTCACGGGTCCTGGACACGCCATCCTGGGACTCAATCCTGCCCCTTTCCTGACTGCCTGGGGCAAGGTGATACTCACGGGTGGTCTGAGAGCGTCTCCGGGGTGGCCTTGGCCAGGTGGGTGATGGGTACCAGCCCAGTACTGGGTGGGCCGGAGAGCCTGCGGGCAAAGATGTAGTCACCCTCCTCCTTGAGGCCGTAGAGCCTGTCCCCGCGGCTGACACTCAGCTCAGCTGAGCACCGCGCCCTGAAGTCGTAGAGCGCCTGGAAGAGCTGCATGGGCACGGGGGGGCTGCAGGGCTCTGTGGCAGGGGGCTCTGGCTCAGCGCTGGCCGCAGGGTCGGGGAAGCCCGGGACGCCGTCGTCCGGCGCGGCCACCGGCCATATCTTGTCCCAGAAGAAGGACAGGAAGGTCAGCCGCTTCCTGAGGAAGGGGTCCATGCTCCCGGTCGTCAGGGCGCCGGACCCAGGGTCCCGCAGGGAAGGGGCTGCAGCGGCAGGACTGAGGACTCCGACCAACAGAAACTGGAAGGGCCGGTGGGACGGCGAGGGTCTGAGCCTTACTGCTGGCGTCCCCGGTGGCGCAGAGTGTGGGGCTCAGGTCACTCCGGAGAAGCCTCCAACAAGGTGCGCACAACTCCCCCCGCCCCCGCCCGCCTCCCGGGCTGGGGTTCAGACCAGGGTGGGGCTCAAGGTGGCCCTCCAGCCCCCCCGCGACACGACGGCGGCTCCTGTGTTGGACCTCTAGAGTGTCGCCCCAACGGCTCAGAGCCGCTCTTTGGGGGCTGGCCCAGGTGCGGCCCCAGGACCCGCCTCCGGGGGCGGGGCCTCGGGCTTCGGGGGCGGGGCCTCGGGGCGGGGCTGTGGGGGCGCAAGTGGGACGCGGTGGGGAAAGCGGTCAGCGCAGGTGAACCGCGCGCCCGCCCTTGACCTGAGCTTTGCCCTCAGAGAAATGGGGTTCCATTAATGGGACAGAAGAGAGCTGGATTTGTGTAGGAAACCCCGCCTGTTCTCGGGGTGCCTGGGGGGCTCAGTCGGTGAAGCGTCTGCCTTCCGCTCCGGTCATGATCCCGGGGTCTTTGGAAGGAAGCCCGCGTCAGGCTCCCTGCGAGCCTGCTTCTCCTTCTCCCTCTGCCCGCTGCTCCCTCCCCTTGCTTGTGCTCTCTCTCTCTGTCAAATAAATAAAATCTTAAAAAAGAAAACTGCCTGTTCTTTAAATGTTGGCCAAATCTCTCAACATAAAAATCCTATGCAGGACAGGGCCTTACATGCCCACCACAAGGCTCTGCAGCAAAGGCTCGGAGCTGGACTGGGGGCAGCCTGGGACTCTGGACAAGTGAGGTAAGCTCCCTCCACTCTGGTTGTTACGCGGTAACGTGGGACATTGGGGTGCTCGGTGAGCCCTGGAAGGGCTCTATAGGTGCCGCACCGGTGACAGGCCAATGCTTCTGGGCCACTGCAGGCCAGGAGACCCCCCCACAGCCACCACGGGGATGGGGGAAGCTCCGACACCTGACCCCCACCTCAGGGATGGGAATGGGGGTGCCGTGGCACAGAAGGGTGGCAGGGGAGCCTGGGAGGGCCTGCGCCACCCCTCTTCCTCAGCTCCCTGGACGGGGCCAGGACACCTGAGCACTGAGGCATGCTCTGCCCACTGCCAGGTCAGCCTCTGTTTCTGGGCAGGATGGAGAGAGCAAACTTCTGGGGGCCCTGAGGCAGGGTCTGTGGTGGGTGGGGTCCCAGCCCAAGGCAGCCTGCATGCTCCTCCCCTTGCTGGCCTCCCCCCAGCTCAGCCCCTTTAGCACCCGGTGGTCATGATTGAGCCCATACCCCTTTTGTGAGACCCTCCTTCCAAACTCCACACTGATCAACGCCTGGATGTGCGTGTTCTGGGTTTGCACACGGCCAACAACAGGTGCGATGATTGTTTGACCAAGGAGAAGCCGGGCACCCACTACCTGCCCCCAGAGCTGCAGCAGACCACTTCTCTCTGAAACACACCCTGGGGGCTTCCTGGGGCACAGCTCGTTCAATGTGCAAACTGTAATGTGGTGCCATGAGCTGCCCCTCCCTGGAGTCCGAGCAGCTCTCCGGGGCTCACAAAGCCTGGAGGGGGCAGGGGGCCTAAGGGGTAGCCTCTGTGGAGCTGACACTCATCCTGGGGGAAGGCAGTAATTGAGAAGAATGTAGGCTACCTACAAATACAAACTTAGGGAAGGGCCTGGAAGGGCCCTGAAGCTTCTGCTCCACCAGCCTCGCGGGGAATCTGCCCGCCCCACCCCATCACGCACTCCTCCCGTGCTCGTGCAAGTCTGGGTTTTGCACACCAATTTCCTTAAATCCTTTATACTTATGCTGCTTCTCCCCTGGGAAACCATGCTTCGAGCCTCTGGTCCTCTCGACCACAGGGAGGCCCTCTCAGGTCGTGGGAGGGTCCCGCTTGTGCTGACTGTGCTTGGGGTCAAGTGCTCTGAGCACTGGACACAGATTCCTCCTGGACACTCCCAGTCCCTCCGAGCTACAACATTCCAGCCGCTAGGACTCAGCACATTCCACCTGGTGGTCAGGGCAGGCAGGGAGGGACCCTCCTCAGTCCTCTGGCCTCCATGTCTGGTGCCCAGGCCTCCTGTTGGCCCAAGCAAAGGCCAGAAAGCGAATCGGGGGACAGAGCGCAGTGGGGTCCAACCCCCATGGCATCCTACAGATGCGGAAACAAGGTTCTGTTCACCCCTCCTCGAGGTCAGAACGGGGACATTTTCCAGCAGGAACATGTGCTGGGCGGTGGGGGCCATCTCCAGGTGACTGGGACAGAGGGGCTGAAGAAGGCCCCATCCCCCAGAAGGAGAGAGGCTCCTCCTCGACTGCTCTGGGCTGTGGGCTCTGCGGGGAGCACCCCACGCACGGCCACCTCTCTGCTGGGGCCCTCCTCCATCCCCTCACCCCCAGACCACCTCTCTTCACCCACCTCACCCCTCCAAGCAGCCAGTTGCCCTTGCGCACACACCCCCGGGGCCAGGTGGCCAGGAGCAAGAGCCACTTTTGTCCATCTTGTCATGGGCAGTTCTCAGACTTGCCTCGCTCCTGCTGGCCTAGCTGCCTGCCCCCAAGCTCCAGGTTCCGGGACACACCGTTCCCTTCCTCCCCTCACCCTCCTGGCCCAGGACGGCCCTGCCCTGACTCCGCCACTCTCCTGTTAGCCTCACCTCCTCCATTGGCCCCAACCACGGGGTTGGTGGGGGTGGGGAGGTGCGTGCGTGAGGGGGAGGACCCCCAACTTGGGATGGGGTCAGAGGACAGGGTTCTAATCCTGCTGTCAGACTCACCACCCATATGACCTTCGGTAAGGTGCTAGACCTCTCTGCCTCCATTTCCCCGTCTCTAAGAGCATTGAGCCTGCAGGGGCCAAGTGAGGGTCCAGACCAGCTCTGCTGGGAGGAGGAGGGGGCTTCCTGGGCACTTAGCCGAGGCTGGCAGCCCAGAGCAGCACGCCCATGGGTTCATTTTCTGGAGGACACACTGTGGGCGTCTGTGGTGGAGATGCACCCTCCCTCCGGTGATCCTGCCACCACCAGGGACCCCCTCTCAGGGCTCCTAAGGCTCAGGGGCAGCGCAGCCTGGTACTGTCCATCATTCCAGGGGCCGCCGCTCAGCGATGGAAGGAACTACGCCCAGCAAAGGAGTCCCCAAAGGCTGCATGCCATGTGGCTCCTTTCTACAGCGGTTTCAGGGATGGAGAGGACAGTAGTGGTTGCCGGGGGAAAGGAGGAGTTGGGGTGGCTGCACAGGGCAACGTGGGGTCCCTGTGGGGTAGACCAGTCGCACGTCTCGCGGTGTCACACTCACTACCCTGGGGGACCTTGCATGACCAGATGTTCTGAAAGATGATGATTCCACTGGGGGAACAGGGCAAGAATCATGGGATCTTTGTGGTATTTTTTACAACTGCGTGTGAATCTACAATTCTCTCAAAATTAAGAATTTAATTTTTAAAAGTTAAATAGAAAAAAGGGGATGGGGCCAAGGCGATGGCAGAGGTCCAAGACATGCCTGGCCCAGAAGATCGGGGTGGGGAGGGGTCTCTCTGTCCCTCTCTGTGGGTGGGCTGTAGGGTGGGGGGTGTCTTCTTCCTCTCCCCCTTTCCAGTGTCAGCTTCCCCCTCAACCCTCCGCAACCCCCTTTCCAAATAACAACAGCTAGCATTTGCTGGGAGCCCAGAACAGGAAGAGGAGGGCAGAAATGGCATCCACCCACCCCCCGGTCTGACCTGGGGCCTCCATGCCCACCCAGGCCTGGGCCTGAGGATGAGCCGATGGGCCCCTAGCTAGGGAAGCCTCTTCCCAAGAATGGGGTCACCCAGAGGGGAGGGGTGCACTTGTGGGGCAGGGGAGGCTCTGGACATAGAACAGACTGGCAGGGGGGCTGAGGGACAGATGCCCTATCCTGGAAGAGGCCCACCACTGTCCTCCCCCTGGGGCAGGGACACCCATAGGCAGGGCATCCTGCCTCCCTCCCCCTCCCCTTCTCCCCAAGGACGACCACTGCCCGGGGGAGGCCCCAGGCTTGCTGAGAAATCCCAGAGGTGCTGAGCCTAGCTGGGGGCTACAATGGGGTTCAAGGGAGGGGCTGACGGGCTCCGGGGAACCGTGGAGACCCATCGGTCCGGACGCAGATCAAGAGTAGCAGCCCAGGCAGGCGTAGTGACGGCAGAAGCAGCTGCTCCAATCCAGGCTCTGTCCCCTGGGGTGGTGACAAGTATCACCCACCTGCCAGTCCACTCATGAGGTCACTGCTGCTCCCCGCAGGTCTTCCCACGGGTTCCTGGGAGCGGGGCACAGGCTGGGACCGCGAGCAGAGCCCTCTTTCCTGTACCCACCCCTCCAAGCCTCGACAGGACCCCGGGACAGGGGGCCCCGGCACAGGCGCCGCAGGCTTCGGTTTACTCCTCTGCGCAATCCTACTTTGGGCGTGGCTTTCGGAATAGCCACTCGTGGTGGTTCCCAAATAGGGGAGGAACCAGGTTCCCCAGGGAGGGAGCGAAGACTCGGGACCGCTCTGTCCTCCTGAGACCGGGGTGGAGGGGGGGGCCGGGGGCCGGACGAGTGCCTCGAGTCCAAGTCCGAGTCTGGGTCTTGGGATCAGACAGAGCCCCCCCGCCCCGCCCCGCGCGGTCTTCCCGGAGCTCTTCAAGGGAAGGGGCCCGACCGGGCGGGGTTTCCCCGCACCCCGGGGTCCTGGGCTACCGCCCCACCCTGCCCCCAGCCCCGGGCCGGGCGGGGCGTCACAGAGGCCCGCGGTCCCCATGGCAACCCGCTGGACGCGGCGGTGCGCGCTGGGCGCACAGTCAGCCGGTTGGCTCTCTCCGCTCCGGGAGGCAGGGCAAGTGGGCGCTCCTGGAGGCTGGGCGCGGGCCGGGGAGGCGGGCTGGTGGCTGGGGAGGGGAGGGGGTGGACCTGGGGGCTTCTGGAAGGCCCAGGAGGGTGTAGGTCTGGGATCCCGGCCAGAGCACAGAGCGGCCCCTTCGCCGAATTCACACCAGCCCCTCTGCGATTTTCCAACCAAGAGACTGCTGGCGACTGGGAAACATCCCTGAACCCACAGTCAGACCCAGGGGCCAGAGCGGGACTTAGGCTGGGATTCCTGGGGTCATGCTTCACCTCATCCCAGATACCCTCTCTGCTGTACCTAGGGCTTGCTCTGGCTTGTCTGCCCCCGGGAGGTGAAGGGCTGGCCTTTGGGGAGGCAGGCAGACTTGGGTCCCAGCCTTACTGGCACTTCACAGTGTGGCCTTGGGCAGGTCACTCAGCCTGTCGGTTTTCTTTGTAATTCATCCAACCCTTGGGTTGCTGGGACCACCTGAGCTCTCCCAAGTGAAGCCACAGCCGGCACCAGGAGCTGTCTCACTGTCCTGGGGGGGTGGGGGCTGGGACCTGGGACAGCAGTAAGATTGCTGGCCCCTTCTCCAAGGAGCACCAGCCTGCAGGGCCAATCCTTGTGGCCCGTGGCCTGCCCCAGCCGGCCCCATCCTCCCCAAGGTGGGCCACTGCCCCCTAGACCTGGGAGCCGAGGCAGGGTAGCACAGAAGGAGAGTCAGGCCCTGGAGTTGGTGGCTGGCCTCCAGCCCTGAAATGAAAGCAAGCTACGAAGCACTTTAGCCTCAGGCCCCCTTCTGTGAGATGAGATGACAGGACCTCACCACTCTGCGGGGCTTCAAGGCGTTGAGTGGGGGCTCAGTAACTAACTAGAAGGCGAGGCCCGGGGCTGCCCTGCCTCCTTCACTGGCTCCAGCCACCACCTGGCCTTGTCTGGGGCTGAGCCCTGGCCCTTTGCTCTGACCTGCAGCGACAGTGAGGCATGGAAGGTCCGCAGGGACGTGGTGCCCCCCGGGGGGGGGTCTGGTGCCGCACAGACAGGATCGCACTGAGGCCTCTCAACAGTCCCGAGGCAGCACCTTCGCCCCATTCAGACGGGGGCCTGAGGCTTTGGCCAGGCCACGCAGCTGGTCAGTGGCTGGGGTTCCTGCCCGGGCCCATTGTCTCAGCCCTTCCCTGTGTCCCTGCGTCATCACAATGGATCATCAATAGAGTGGTTGCCCCTCAGTGTCCAGTGTTATCCAGATCGGCAGCCTTTTCCCAGAGAGATGTGCTCTCCCCACGAGCTCCTCCCCCTGGGGGAGGACAGAGGGCCCAGTGTGGAGGGCAGCGGGCCTGAAGCCAACCCTCCCCGCCACACACACACACACTGACCTGAGTGAGCCCCCAGGTGGGTGGCAGAGGCCAATTGACCGTGTCAGCTCACACCCCACCCTCTGCCCCCTGCTCCCAGACATGAACTTCCAGGTGACAGGCCTGGGCCTGGACAAGATGAAGCTGGACAGTCCCCAGTCCTTCCTGGACCAGGAGGAGGCCGAGGAGGCTGAGGATCAGCAGCTGCTGGAGCCAGAGGCTTGGAGGGCCTACATGGAGCACCGCACGGCGCTGCGCGAGTTCCTGACCTCGGACCTGAGCCCCCACCTGCTCAAGCGCCACCATGCCCGCATGGAACTGCTCAAGAAGTGTTCCTACTACATCGAGATCCTCCCCAAGCACCTGGCCCTGGGGGACCAGAACCCCCTGGTGCTGCCCAACACCATGTTCCAGCTCATCGACCCCTGGAAGTTCCAGCGCATGAAGAAGGTGGGCACCGCCCAGACCAAGATCCAACTCCTGCTGCTCGGGGACCTGCTGGAGCAGCTAGACCGTGGCCGCGCCGAGCTGGACGCTCTGCTGGAGTCGCCTGACCCGCGGCCCTTTCTGGCGGACTGGGGGCTGGTGGCACAGAGGCTGGCAGACCTGTCGGCGGTCATGGACAGCTTCCTGGCCATGATGGTACCTGGGCGCCTGCACCTCAAGCACCGTCTGGTGTCTGACATTGGCACCACCAAGATCCCGCACATCAGGCTCATGCTGAGCACCAAGATGCCCGTTATGTTTGACCGAAAGGGGTCGGTGGCCCACCAGGACTGGGCCAGCCTGCGCTGGTTTGTCACCATCCAGCCAGCGGCCCCGGAGCAGTTCGAGCTGCGCTTCAAGCTGCTGGACCCACGGACACAGCAGGAGTGCATGCAGTGCGGCATCATCCCTGTGGCCGCCTGCACCTTCGACGTCCACAACCTGCTGCCCAACCGCTCCTATAGGTTCACCATCAAGAGAGCAGAGAGCTACACGCTGGTGTACGAGCCTTGGTGGGACAGCCTCACCCTGCAGACCAGGCCGGGGCCCCCAGAAGGGCCCACCCCCAGTCGGCTAGGCAAGCCGGGCCTGCCCCTGACCACACTCTCTGAGAGATGATTTTCTAATATTTATCCACTAATAAAGACTATAAACACACACACTATTAAAGAAACAAACCTACTTACGTTTTAGACGCAGCCGCAGCTGTGAGAGTCTGACTCTGCACAGCCTACCCCCCAGCCCCAGGCCCCCCAGGTTCCTGCCCCCTTTCCAGGGGGCACCCCAGGCTGGACCTTCCAGGATCGCTGTCCCCGGAGAAAGACGAGCAGCCCTGGCAGCTGGCTGCCCCGAGCAAGGACAAGAGCTTCTCCGAGGGGCCCTGCCAAAGCAGCAGCCCCTCCTGCATCTCCCCCTCCCCGTCTCTGGCACCGTAAGCAGCCCTGTGACCCTGGCAAAGGCCCTGGCTGTCTCTTCCTGTGTCCTAGGCCAGGGTTCCCCAAGGGGAACAATAACCTCGTTGCGGGCAGTCATGCCCCATCCTATTGCTCCCAGCATCACTGGAGTTAGGGCAGAGGGTGCCCAGGCCATCAGGACATTGTGTTTTTTAAACGACAAGGTCTTCTCCCCAAAAGAAGCTGAAGCCTCATCTGTACTCCTGTCCCAAGGTGGCTGAGGGCCCCAGGCAAGGGAGCCTGGCAGAGGGCCTCCCCGAGACACAGGCCAGTGCCCAGCCCCGTGTGGGGGGCCGGCCCCTCCCTGCTGCCTCAATAGGCTGTCCTTGTCCCCCTTTCCTGGCACGGTCGTGTGACCACCAGTGTGGCCAGCAGCCCCCTCCCTTCCCACGCCCACGTCCACGTCCTGACGCAGGTGATGCGAAGGTCGGCATCTGCCTGCTGCTGCAGCTTGGCTGTGTCCAGGTCCAGGAGGGACAGCACCGTGTGCCATGGCCAAGGGGAGCTGCCAGTATGCTGAGCTGTCCTCCGCTCCCTTGCCCATCATATGGGCCACTAGGCCCTCTGAGAGCAGAAGGCCTACAGGGCAAGATGACGGGGAACAGGGACCGTCTCCCCCACTGGCAGAGAAGTGGTTTGGAGAGGGAGAGCAGGTCCCCAGCTGTCGGAAAGGCCCCAGGACCTGCCCACCCCCCACCCAAACCCTGCTATAGACAGAGGGGGAGACAGTCCTCTTAGGCCTTTCCAGGAGCTGACCCACTGTGTGCCACTGCATGCCATTCAGGGGGTCAAGCCAGACTGTCACACACTCTGTGGCATCATGTGGCTATGGGGTGGACACTCCTAGGGGTTCCTCAGGGTCCAGTCACCCCAAGGCATCCTGGGGAGGGGGGAAGGAGGGGGAGGGGTCCAGAGCAAAGCCACGGTACTCCTCGGAAATGACCGGAAATGACCAGCGGTGGAGGTAGGGCACAGGGTAGGGGGAGGAGTCAGGGAGAGAAGCAAGAACTGGCCAGGGACCAAGGATTGGGTTTTGTGCCAGGTCATACCATCCATCCCACCAAGAAGGGGGCAGGCTGGAGTCGTGGTTCGCCAAGGCAGGCGGCTATGGGCCAGGCGGCTGGGGGTCATCCCAGATCCCCGCGTCTCCAGCCCTCATGCGATGGCAGCTGCCCAGAGGCCAGCCCCGCGGCAGGTCCCCGCTGTGAGGGCCCCGCACCACCAGGCCTGGCGCGCCCGCGTATTTGAAACTCGCTCGCGCGCGGGGCCAAGCGCCTTTTCTCTGCGCGGAGCTCCGTTTGGTTCGCTGCCTTGCACGAGAACGCGCCTGACTGGAAACCTTGACCCTCTTTGCGGCGAGGCCCGCCCTCCGCCTGCGGCCCCGCCTCGCGCCGCCTCTGCGCGGAGGTGCCCGACCGCCCTGGTTCCCCACCGCCCCGCGCACGCCCCGGACTTCAACGCCCGCTCCTCCGCGAAGCCCTCCCTGACTCCAGGCTGAAGAGGTCCCGACTTCCTGCCTCAGGGCGTCTGTTGGTCCTCGTTTCGACTGCTTTTGACCAGGTAGTAAAACTTCTCCATGCCTGCGTGGTTGGCCTAGAATAAAAGTGCTCTTCCAGGCGGGGCCCGTCTGACTCCCTCTGCAGCCTCACAAGGAACACACAGGCCTTGGAACAGGCCTTTGACCCTTTGACTCTCTGTGACCTCCACACCTGTCTGATACCCATGCGGGCACCTAGGGAAGCCAGGGTCCGGCCACACCTTCCTCCGTACAGCAGTGCTGTTGGAGGCACTGGGCACTGAGCAACAAACCAACCAGATACGGAATGGCCAAAGTCCGCTTGGAGAAGGTATGCAGCGTTCCAGGGTCCTCAAGCATTCAGACCCTGGACCACGCAGGACACTGGCAGGGCTGGCAGCCTCAGGGACTTTGGACTTGGCCTGGGGTCTGCGTTCAGTAGGCTGGGCATGCCTGCATCACCTGGATCCAGCTCATCCCTGTGGCCCATCTTCACCAAGTCAGCCCCCCACCCAGCTTCCACTGTTCTGGCGCAGACCCTGCTCAGCCCACTGGCTGTGTTGTCCACTGTGACATGGGGACATGGGGACACCAGCCCCTCCCAGAGTGCTTGCTTGTCCAGCATCCAGCTAGAAGGGGCTCTTGATTCTTGACAGACTCAGGAACCACCCTGCAACCCAGAACAAGAGGAGGCACCTCCCCTTCTTGCCCCCCAGTAAAATCTCAAACACCCAGAAGTGAGAAAAACATTCAGAGTGGTCTTTATAATAAAATTATTATTGAATCATATAACACAGAGTCCAAGAAAATATATAAAAATTGGAATGTAGAAATTGATTTGTAGAAAACATCAGAACATCACTCCCCCCCCGCCCCCCTACCACTGGCAGACGGTTCTGCAGCAAGGCCACGGGGGGGGGGCAAGCCCCTCTTAGTATAAGCAACTTGTTTGCCACATCCCCCAGGCCACAGGGACAGTGGAAGTGCAGAGACTCTGGGTCAGAGCTGCCTTGGGGAGAGGGGTGCGGGGCGGGGGGGGGGGGGGGGGGGACTGAGGTGAGGGCTGATATCAAGGCAAGAGTTTCCAGAGCAGTTAGGACCTAAATGCACCCTGAGACCCTGAGGGACAGGTGAAGATCCTCAACTTTACAAAGACAGACACACAG